GTGAGCTTTGACCAGCGGCGCTACAAGAACACCTGGGGGAGCACCGAGCTGCAGGTGAGGGGCCCTCACCTGGCCCAGGTGTGCTTTACCTGTCCAGGTGTGCTTTACCTGTCCAGGTGTGCTTCACCTGGCCCAGGTGTGCTTTACCTGCCCCAGGTGTGCTTTACCTGTCCAGGTGTGCTTTACCTGTCCAGGTGTGCTTTACCTGTCCCAGGTGTGCTTTACCTGCCCCAGGTGTGCTTTACCTGTCCAGGTGTGATTTACCTGTCCAGGTGTGATTTACCTGGTTCTGTGGGGATCTCACCTGTATCATTATTTTTATTTTAATTTCTCACCTTTATCACCACAGTTTTTTTTTTATTTTCTCACCTGTACCATTATTTTTAATTTCTTTTTCTCACCTGTATCATTATTTTTTAATTTCTCACCTGTACCATTATAATTTTTAATTTAATTTCTCACCTGCACCATAATTTTTAATTTAATTTCTCACCTGCACCATAATTTTTAATTTAATTTCTCACCTTTAACGTTATTTTTTTTTTTAATTTCTCACCTTTAACGTTATTTTTTTTTTTTAATTTCTCACCTGCTCAGGTGCAGACGGAGCTGGAGCAGGTGCAGGTTCCCAACCCCCTCCCGTGGATTTTGGGGGCGTCCCTGGGGGGGCTCCTCCTGCTGGGGCTGCTGGCGCTGGGGCTCTACAAGGTGAGGGGGCCAAAATCACCCCAAAAATATCCCAAAATCACCCCAAAAATATCCCAAAATCACCCCAAAAATATCCCAAAATATCCCCAAAAATAACCCAAAATCACCCCAAAAATATCCCAAAATCACCCCAAAATCATCCCAAAATCAACCCAAATATAACCCAAAATAAACCCCAAAATCACCCCAAAAATAACCCCAAAATATCCCCAAAAATAACCCCAAAAATATCCCAAAATCACCCCAAAAATAACCCCAAAAATATCCCAAAATCACCCCAAAAATATCCCAAAATCACCCCAAAAATATCCCAAAATATCCCCAAAATCACCCCAAAATAATCCCAAAATCAACCCAAAAATAACCCAAAATATCCCCAAAATATCCCCAAAAATATCCCAAAATCACCCCAAAATAATCCCAAAATCAACCCAAAAATATCCCAAAATTCACCCAAAACCATCCCAAAATCACCCCAAAATAACCCAAAATATCCCCAAAATCACCCCAAAAATAACCCAAAACCATCCCAAAAATATACCAAAATCACCCCAAAAATCAGACAAAATTAACCCCAAAATTCACCCAAAATATCCCAAAATCACCCCAAAATAACCCAAAATCAACCCAAAAATCACCCCAAAAATCAAACAAAATTAACCCCCAAAATAACCCAAAACCATCCCAAAACCACCCCAAAAATAACCCAAAATAAACCCAAAATCATCCCAAAAATCAAACAAAATCAACCCAAAAATAACCCAAAATATCCCCCAAAATAACCCAAAACCATCCCAAAATAAACCCAAAATTCACCCAAAATATCCCCAAAATCACCCCAAAAATCGCCCAAAATATCCCAAAAATATCCCCCAAATCAGACAAAATTAACCCAAAATAATCCCAAAATTCACCCAAAATAATCCCCAAAATCAGACAAAAAAAACCCAAAATTCACCCAAAATATTCCCCAAAATTCACTCAAAAAAACCCCAAAAATATCCCCAAATTTTGGGGATTTTTAGGGTGAATTTTTGGGGTTTTTTTGAGGTGATTTTTGGGTTTTTTGAGGTGAATTTTGGGGTTTTTTTGGGGTGAATTTTGGGGTTTTTGGGGGTTTTTTGGGGTGAATTTTGGGGATTTTTTTTGTTTTCCTTTTGGGGGGACTTTTCGGTTTTTTTTTTGCTTTTGAGGTTTTTTGTTTGTTTTGGTTTTTGGGTTTTTTGGGTTTTTTTTTGTTTTTTTAATTTGTTTTTTAAATTATTTTTTAAATTATTTTTTGGGGTTTTTTTGAGGGTTTTTTTTTTTGTTTTTTTTTTGTTTTCTTGGGGATTTTTTTTAATTTTTTTTTTAATTTTTTATGTGTTTTTTCCCCCAATTTTAATTTTTTAAAAATAATTAATTTTTTTTTTCCTTTTTTTCCCCCCAAATTCCCCAGCTCGGATTTTTCAGGCGCCGCTACCGGGAAATGATGGAGAGCAACGAGACCCCCGGGGACCCCCAGGAGTGA